TGCATCACTCATGCGCAGCTATCACATCAAGACCCACTACTTCGCAAAATGCTCGAGTCGGCAATTTCGCAAACCATTCGAACTTCATATCTAACTCAACCCTGGTCGATGAAAAATCCATGTTTTGAGTGAAAGTCAAGTAAGTATAAACTCGTGCCGTTCACCGATACCAGTTAAGAGAAAAGATTGCAACAATGATAGTTGTCAGTAATCAAATGTCACATGTAGTAACCAAGAGAATACCCTGTTCACAAAACACTTGCACCAACCCAATAACTTGATACTAAGCACTTGTAGAGCAAGAAAGAAACTGAAATGCAAATAAAAACAAAATCTATGAGGCACTGCAAAAAACAGAGCTGCTAAAGAAACGGAGCATGAGGGCCCCATAAAGTGAATAACGCCACAATGTTTCAAATATGTGAAGGAGGCGAACCTACACCGACACAGAGAGCTACACATGGTTGGCGACACTCAGTGAACCAAAAGTTCTAGTAGCTAATATCTACCATACCTGTGGGTGGATCTCTCAGATACAATTCTTTTTGTTGTTTGTCCATCTGAACTCGAGATACAATCTTATCCTTATCAACCTGAAACATCGGAATACAATTATCTATCAGACCATGAAATATTTAGAATCCATCGCTGAACAGTCAAAACTACAAAGCAGATCTTGCATGAGGGATACCTTGAGCTGTGTTTCTAATTGCTGTTTCTGAGCGGCCTGATTGAGATATTGCGCAAGTTCCTTGCTAGAAATACGCCCACGGAACTTCTCCGTTACGTAGATACAAATCTGGAATTGAAAACACCGTTAAGATGTCCACTTCTGATCAACTAACTAACTGAAGCTAATCCTACCTCCGTGAAATTGTCGGGAAGTGCCGTTACAGATTCGATGTGAGCGTGTATGGTTGGTTTACTGCCAAGGACTACGAACAGCGCGTCGACAAATTTCTGTTTTTGTTCACTTGTTTGATACCTAGAAAGGATAAAAACTGCTCGCATGAAAATAATGACAGATTGAAAATCCATTTAAGCACGCACTCTGTTACAGGAGCCTTCACGACGAGAGCGACTATTCCATCTGAATCACTGTGCTGCGATGTACGATTATATCCAATCGCCTGAAAGTACGAAAATGTCCCTAGAAATTGTAGTTGTTGACTGGTTTTAACGCCGCAGTTCGCGTTGCGGAAGTTTTATAAGAATGCTGAGATATGGGCAAACCTTCACTTTACCGGAATCAATCCAAATTTTGCTGACCGGGCAATTGTGCCACCATTACATCGCGGCACCACTTAATCTTGAGTTAAGGCAGGTAAGGTCGTGTAACTGGTAATACAACTGCCCAGTAAGCAAGATATAAGAGCCCCAATCCCGCCTGGCGAAAGTTTTGCGCACAACTTAGCATTCTTGGCAAAATATCCATGGAAAGTTTGGAAAGCATTAGAAACTATTCATTTTTGGAGGGCAACAACCTCAATACTAAATGTGCTCAGAAGCGAGACACTGTATCGCCAAGCCCTTGCGTAGCGTAGGCAAAGAGTCGCGAATCTGACACCCAGCCCGACTCCTCGATGCCTTCCTAATTCTGGTTGTGCAAAGCAGGTATCATCAACGGACCCAAGGTTCCCACAGCAAATCACCGTGGACCCGAGATTCCCGCAACGAACAATGCTTCGCGCTGCGCGAAACGCGAAGAATTCGATTTCTATCCTAGTGAACCACATCCCAAAGCGGCACCCCTTATAACCACTGTTGGTCAAAAAATTCGCACTTGTGGTTGCACAACACCATCGTGCAGTTAGCATTGATGAGACAACCTGTTCTTTTTCATTCTCTGCTGATTCATTAAGTTAATCCGATGTGCAGAGTGGGACCAACCTTAATTCGATGGAAAGGACCGCTCTGAGTATACTGCACTGGTTGTTGCCCATCTTTGTAGTAACCAGCTCCAACACCCATTGCTGCAGCCAACTGATTCAGCTTTGCTATCATCTCGTCTCGCTCATCCCCAAACAGCTCGACTTTGGTCAGTGAACGAACAAGCGCATCCGATTCCTGAAATTTATGCATGCATACAATTTGAATCGCCCCAAATTACGATTGTGTTTATGACATCTTTCGGCTCAACCGCAATATGCATTCGATACACTCGGGTTTCTGATTTATAATGCCGCGCGATACTAACCTTCGAAGGAAAACCTCTTTAAAAAAAACGTGGGCGATGCAGGAGTTTGGGACTGAAAAAAAGTACTGTGGACGAGTATGGTCCGTAGGACAGAAAGCCGACTTTTTCGCGTTTCGCAGCGCGAAACATTGTTCGTTGCAGGAATCTCGGGTCCACTGATGATTCGCTGCGGGAACCTCGGGTCCACTGATGATCAGCGGTGGACCTGAGGTTCCCGCAGCGGAAAATGTTTCGCGCTGCGAAACGCGAAGAAGTCGCTTTCTGTCCTAGAACCACATCCCTGGTGGATCAATCACCCTCACTTTCGCTACTTTCAAATAAAAAACACGTGCAAAAGAATAGAGTAAGACTGTGCGAAGGAAGGTGTCCAGGCTTTGCGCTTGCTGTTGCGATGGCAAATTGCAGTCATCAGCGGGGCATTTATCACGGAAGATTGTAAGAAAGTACCGAGAGATGCATACCCTATAAAGGAAGAGAAAAATATTAAAGCTAAAGAGAAATTAGAGATCCAAAAACCTGCAGAATTCCTTGAACAGTCTGCTTTGTTTCCATTGCCGGTTGTGCTGCAGCAGCAGAACCAAACAATCCACCTGTCATTGGTTTTGAGCCCAAAAGACCCCGTTCCGCCTGTGCTCCCAAAGCCTGAGGTTGCTGCTAAACAGTCTTGAATTGATATGTTCAACAGACAGCTAAGAAAATTAAAGTCTCAAGTGATCAAATACACGAGTATAAGGCTATATATAAGACGACTTACGTTTAGAAAACAGCCCTCCACTTGTAGATCCACCAAAAAGACCTCCAGATGCAGTTGTAGTCGTGGTTTTAGCACCAAAGAGTCCACCAGATGTAGTAGTTGTGGAGCCAAACAGTGAAGTTGTTGTGCCGGATTGTGGCACACTGCCAAACAGCGGTTTTGATGCAGGCCTAAAATGTTTCGAAACTGACTCAAAATAGAAAAAATACACGCTTGTTGATGGTTTTTCTAGAAAGAATGTTTTTTCCCGGAAATAACAGAGAAAAATGTGAAAATTACGTTGTTGTGGTGGTTGAGCCAAAAAGCGAAGGTGTTGACGTCGTGGTCGTTGTCGAGCCAAAGGTGAAGCCCGACGAAGTACCAGCCGTGCTAGTTTGCGCAACAGAGGTTTCTTCGCACGAAACTCAATATCTGAAGCATAGTAGAAGTAATTCATGAAGAGAATTTGGTGCGAAACGTCCCGCGTATGCAACAACATTATCGAAACTCAACATGTGCATGGGAACCAACAGCAAGGACCCCCTACATACAATGCCAACGTTACAAGCAAACAACAGAAGTTGTGAACACGACCATCGTCATTCACAGGAATAATGCCTGCGATTGCACCAAACACACCTCGTGACGGCGCAGGAGTCCCCCTCGACCGCTCGCGAAAATTAGGCATCGCGCGCGACGTCGCTGACGTTTCTGCAGTCTGAATCATGGCAATTGGCCAAGTTTAGGACCTGCCTCTCTGGACGATCGATACAACACTTTTTTGTTCCGTCTGTGTAGTCCCCATTTCTGCATTTGTTTTTGCTTAGATTAGTCTAGCTAATAGCCACGTTCCAACTTGTAAGGACCAGGTAGCCGCCGCGTGCGGTGACCTACTTTCGCTTGCGCGGCGGCCTCAGGGGGACTCTTGTCTCGGCACTCCTCCCTGATAAGAGAAACTAGGGTTCTCGAATAGGATTCCACGATATATGGCAGGTGGTGTAGTGGCAAGTGGCACGTGCACCTTTGGGTGGCCAAATCCATGCCAAATTTTATCAGGCCAGCCAAGCTTCTGCTGCTACACTTGCCTGGGAGAATAAAATATTGATTTGTAAATCAGCGGGCTCCGAAGTCATTTTGTGGGCTGTATCGCATTCAAATGTCACTGCGATTCTAAAGGGAAGTGAAATGCGTGGCACATGCCGAGAAGGGATTAGATTGATGAACGCCAAAGAATCAGCGGCATGTAGCTAGGAAAGGGAGGATTCCTGATGAAGTCGCGATCACGATCACCATCATTCTCGGACCACGGAGTAGGGCCCCTAAACGTAGTCTAGAACTAAAGGTTGCTTACCATCGAGCTGAACTTGTCTTCTAAAGCTTGGGAAGTAAGGTTATTGTAAGCTTAAAACAATGCTACAGACTACTTTCCTCTCGCTCTCTCCGCTCTCGCCAAGGCACAGGATTGCCGAGGAACATTTTATAGCACTCAAATAGACTAAGGAAAGGAGAGGACTACACTTGTGCGACTCAATTGTTTGTTTTGTCATGCCAGTGGTCTGATAGCGTCAGCCGTTGGCGGCCATGAATTCTCCCCCTCTGAACTTTCTTCTCTCAGCTCCTTTCATGAGAAGCTCATCTAACACTAATAGCGCAAGGGGGAATACGTGATGAGAGGAGTGCCACTTTTCACAGGAGCTTCTGCATAAAAAATAAGGTAATGTGCTCTCAGCGATTGAGAAGGCAAGTCAGTAATGTTCGGTGGATAAATCCCAAATCCTCTCATCTTGAAACCTCGGCATTTCGTTGATGTTGTAGATTGTGTTTTTACTTCTGCCTTGAGGTTGTTAGGTGGTAAATTTTATTCTGGCCAACGTTTCGACGGACTCGTCGTTTTCAAAGGCCTGAAAATGGCTCAAAACTTACGAATTTGCACACTACCCACCAAACGCCTCCTCCGCTCTAGCGTTTCTGACGTTGCCGTTAAAGGCAAAGGTCGGGCTCAGGCACGCTAGAGAAGTAATTCCCGTGCCTGGAGGTTGTATGTGGGTAGCTGCACACATTGCAGCAACTTCCCACCTTGAAAAACCCCGTTAAGGCCCCGGGGCGTTCGGTTTCAATCCAGGGCCGCCTGGTCAATCCAGGACCGCCCACCTCCGGAAGTGGTGCGTGGCTGGCATAACGTGTGAAATCAGCTAGGTTGATTGCCGTATCAACCGATAGAACGACTGACATCTCCAGAAAACTTGTTTGTACGTGCCTCTTTCCCCAGCCTCCTTCACTGCTAGTGGGAAAGAGGGTTTTGTTAACGGCCTTGTCGACGGTTTTTCTCAGTTTTTTCTCCACTGTCGTTCCACTTCGCATCTCTATACTCAGTTTCAATCGCCATAATACCCCCTTATTGAGCCCGACTTTTGCCTTTAAACTCGGAAACCTTCAAAACTCGAAAGATAAGCTCACCTTTTACCACCGCGAAGTGTAGCAGGCTGCTACACACAGTCAGTACATTAGTAGCGAATTACCTCACTCTGTTGTCCTTATGCAATTTTAATATTGCGGACAAGCACGTTCGCGTACTTTGGAAGTAACGATACATGTTCGCGAAGCGTGCTTGCTCCGCCTACCAAAATGCTAGAAAACAGAGTAAGGTTCGGCTACTAGTGTGCTGACTGTGTTGTGGGCCCCTGCTTACACTTCGCGGTGGTAAAGGTGAGCTTATCTTTCGAATTTTGAGTGTTTTCCGAGCGTTCCTAACGGAACGTCAGAAACGCTAGAGCGGAGGAGGCGTTTGGTGGGATAGTGTGCAATTCGTAAGTTTTGAGCCATTTTCAGGCCTATGAAAACGACGAGTCCGTCGAAACGTTGGCCAGAACAAATTTGGTGGATAATTTGCCTCCAATTAATTCGATGTCTTCTAAAGTGTATTTTTTGAGCGGAAACGCGGTAAAGGAGCTGTACAGATAAAGGTCAAGCAAATATTTCATAGATGCTTCACTCATCGTCAGGGATCATGCTCCACATTGTGAGAAAAGTAATCGTGAAAAGCTATGCCCTAGGTACACACGTAGAATATGTATGATCAGCAGTCAGAATAAAAAGCTTTTTATTACTTATGACTCAGAATGTTCGATGATAATAATGATAGCTTGTTTATTCACATATAATAGGACTGAAACAATTTAAAGCGTACTTTACATTTTTAGGCATATCCCATCAATCTAAATAGTTGACATGGTGAGGTAGAGAATGTGATAGGTATTTTTGCCAGCAGTACTGGTCGCTGAGGTTGACCAGGAACATGTTCAGCACATCCTTGGACCGAGAGACGTGAGTGAGCAGGTAACTAAAAATGTTGCAGATGAGCGGGTGAAATCCGTGCACATCTTCACTTTCGTTATAACAATAATAAAATAGCGCAGTCAGCGTTAAGCAAAACAAGCCAATGCATCAAACTTTCCATGCATTGTTGACTCAGATATGTTTATGGTTAGAGAGGTTGGAATGCGTAGTAGATTACGAAAACACTTGCCAGGGGCCATCTGCTGCTGAAAATGTTGCTTTTTGAAATCTGATGATGGTAAGTACCGAGGATTTGGTTTGCTTGGGCCTAGATTAGAACCCAGGAAGGTGCATGTGGTGACGCCGCGCTTTGCCTCAACGATAGGTTTGCATTCTCGGAAAATCAGTTTCAAAGAATGCTTGTCAAAATAAGGTGAAGTGAGGTTCGTACGTACGATAATTATACTTCCAGCACACCGTGAACCACACTGAAGATTCGCTCATACGTGGCAGTATCAGGTACGGTGCGGCGATAGAAATTATTCCAACTTATGAGACGGAGTGGTCGTATTGATTGACGTTCGTGGGTCCTACTGACAGAGCTGATAGCATTTGAGAGCGGCGTGGAGAGTCAGCGATAGCTTTTCCCAAGCAAAAGTTTCACAGAGGGGTTCGAAATTTCCTCATATTGGTGTTTTACATATTGTCGCCCTCTCTCCTTTCTCGATGGTTTATCTGTAGGAAAGTCAGGTTCTGCTATCAGGTAATAAATGCAAGAGGATTGTATGGGTAGGCCGAGTAGATTTCACAGGGAAAGGTCTTAGCGATAGTTAGCCATCGCCACAGCCGAGGCGGGAGGGAGAGGCGGAGAAGTGAGAAGGGGAGGGGTAAGGAGCGCGTTTAGCTTCTTTGATCGCTCTCCATCTTGCGAGCGTTTGCCATCTTGGCAAATGTCAGTGCTAAGGAGAATTTGATTTTGAAGGACCTTTATTCGATCGATGATAGTGACTAGAAAGACGGCTACAAATTGCACGGTCTTGGGTTCAAAGGCGGAGTTTACGATGTAAAGGCAGGTATATAGAAAACAGGAGGTGGTCAGTGATGCAGAAATAAAGAAAAACAAAAAACGGCCTGAAACACGAGAAAAGAGACCCGTCCTGTTCACTTATTTACGAATTGGGCATCTCGGTGGTGACGCTAGCGATCTCTCCGTTAAAGCAAGCTGGCCCTGCTAGGTCGCTAAGGCATAGCCTTGTTGCGAAACGCGCATTATAACCCGCACCCTTAGGGAGTATGCCTACCTTCCTACCGAGGTATTTCCCCTTCTTCCACCTTATCGTGAGATCCTACTTTAATTAGAAGAGCCTTGCAATTTATCAGAGCCAGTTTTTTTTGAGAAATATTGGCAACAAATTTGTCTTGGATAAGAGAAAGATTAAACTGGACGTGAACTGATTTCCAGAACTCATTACAAATACATCTCCATTGGTGCTCCACTGCCTCCACGCGTTAGTGAATGAAAGTTGACGGCGTGGCGCAGTACAAATGAATTGATCAACTTCGACCTCATTGTTGCTTACTTTTCGTTTATATTCACTCACCTTCTCTCGTACAGTATTGCATGCCATGCAGCTCTGAAATCGTCCATTTCCTGAGCGGTTTTTGGCTTCCGATAGGCTACGTTGAGCTGTAAATATTTAACTGTAATGACCTATAAGCACATCACAGAAGCGACTCATTCGCTTCAGCAGCTTTATTCTGTTTTCCATTCCTGTTCAGTAATTCATACCTGGCAAACCCTCATATTGGATTCTGAAAAAGTGCCGTCGTTGAAGAAAATTGGAAGAAATTCGTTTGCGTTCTTCGTGTCAATGATGATCGAGGTCACCCGAAACCTTCGCACAAAAAAGCTCATCAACGTCACCAAGGACATGTTTCTGTAGTCCTGTGGAGCTGAAACATTTAGCATACATGATGCTGGCTGGTGTACATCGATAGGGTGGCGTGCTATACGATGCCAACTGCAACCGCTGAAAATCGCTAGTAATGCTCGTCCATGGTGGGTTTTCATCAGGAAGAACTATGTTTCTGCTCCCTGCTCCTCTTGGGAATGCTAATCACCAATTCGCGTATGTTTGGCTTACGGAAACGTGATCGCTTCTAAAGGATGATTCACGCGATCAGAGGGACCTTCTCAATTCAATGGCGGTCCTGCATGAGACC